ACAGGTAAAGTTTATGAGTTTGTGAGTTTGTGACATTGTAGTGGCTAATTTCTGGATTTACTGAACCGATTTAGATGAAATTTGGTAAAAAATAGTTTGAGACCCTGGGAAGGACATAGGATACTTTTTATCCTGGAAATCATCCCGTAAGGTGTAAATGAGGATGAAAGTTTGTACGGGGAATCAAGCTAGGGACTAACCCGTGCGAAGCGAGGGTGAGTCGCTTGTGCGAATATATAAAAATGACTGTTATTTAAAATTGAATACATATTTCATCTTCAAACATCGTATTAGAAAACATAAAACCCAAATACTCTTATAAACAATACACAATACATTCGCCACATTTAACGTCATCGTACAGAGCAACGATAACTAAGTTTGCAATTAGTATGGTTTGTATGCACCCACTGTGAATGAAAATGACTTTTAAAATAAACGACACGTAAAGAGAATTTCATAAAATCATCGATTTTAAACTACTTAAAATTCAATAATTTGTTACTTTCAAATTCTGAATAATAAGTGTTATTAAAGTTTGTTATTGAAAGCGTTTGAGTGAAGTTATATTCTTGTTCATCATCGACTAATCTTTGCTGCACTCCGGTACGTCCCTAGATATCTAATAGTAGCATATATGGTATTTCAGGTCATAGTCTATTTATGTACTGATTTGAATCCAAGTTCGTGCAGCCATTTCAGTCTGAATCAGTAACAAATAACAATACACATGTACTTTCACGTAACAGTAGTCCGAATAATATAATATCATAAATCATATGTAGTTATAAATATAAATATTTTTTTTATATATATTATTATTTTTATTATTATTTATATTATAAATGTGATAGTGTTTGTTTGTTTGTTTTTTTGTTTGTTTGTTTGTTTGTCCTTCTTTCAGGTCAAAACAGAGTGACAGATTGGCGTGGTTTTTTTTTGTGTGAAGATTGTTCGAGGGCTGGAGAGTGACATAGGCTACTTTTTACCGCGGAAGAATATCTCATTCCCACGGGAAAACACATTATAATGTAACCTAAAAAAATATTTATGATCAGAATTACTTGAAGCTTGGTATTAATGGTCTTTAATACATTTAAATAAATACGTGTTTTAGTATTTTTTGAAATTCATCCCATAACGGGATAAAATAGGGGATAAAAGTTTGTAACAAAAATCTATCTTTTAGGGTTTTTTTTATATTTTCAGCTAGTAATATCAAAAAGCTTATTCACTTTCTTTTATCTTACAGCAAAATGCCAAAAAAATAACCGAGTCAGATATTGGATTAGCAAATATGGAAGCCGAGCGCAGCATCCTGCTTAGTAACAAAATGGAGTGCTTCCTCTTATTGCTTTTGACTCCGGGTCGGAGAGTAACAATAACAAAGTTACTTCGCAATTAGAGAGCTTGTTCGCTGTCGTTGATGATACAAAATTATCTGTTTTGAAGCCATTTGAGAAGGAGAATTATTATTTATAAAATATAATGTAAAATTAATTATACTAAACATTGTGGGTAGTGGAATCTGTTACAAAAAAATCTCTAAAAAGGTAGTTTCATACTAACTTTCATCCCCTATTTTACCCCCTTATAGGATGTATTTCGAAAAATGCTAAAACATAAAATACAACAAATAAATAAAATTGAAGTGTCTGTTTGTAATGTAAAAATAACAACTTTACTAAATGCTTGTGTATAAATCAAGTATACGGACCATATAAGAAAAACACTTTGTTTTAATTTTTCTGTCTGTCTGTCTTACTTTTATTTTAGAAAAAGAATTAGGATCCCGCTCAAAAAAATTAAAACTTACCAATCTACGCAAATGAGCAAAGCCAGGGGAAATCGCTAGTCGTTAATAGAAAGCTAAGCGTCATGCCAAATGGTCAAAATTTGTCATTTTCTTATTTTTCTACCAGCGTAATCTCGTTTCTTAAAGCAATGATTTACTGTGAAACGGGACTCAAAGTTGATGTTAAGGTAGAAGTAACTTCTAGCATGACACGGAACAATTTACTTTGATAGTTGCCTAAACTTGCCTGGCTTATTTGCGGCGTGCCGATGTTAATAGAGTTTTAGTTTGAGTCATTTTACTTTTAATTACAATAAACAATAAAGTTAAAGACTGGGATTACTCACGTGTATGTTTGTTAGATCCTTCAAAACTAATGAAATTAAATATAAGAAATACTGAATACAACGCCTCACTCCTAGTTAATAAAAAATATTACGTATATAAATAAATTTAACCTACTTAAATTTTCAATTATAAGGTTTTAACTTCTAAAACAAACTAAATCAATATAGGTATGGAATACAGTAGATAATAGATATATTTATTATTGGTCATGAAAGAAAAAAAAAAGAAAAAAATATTTATACCATGTTCTTAAATTCAATTACATAAATATTAAATAGTTCTCATCAGTTTCTATAGTCTAATATTATTTCCTTCAAACTTTTGATTCAACTACATTTTCTGCAGCGCATCTGATCTTATAAGTTTTATTATTGCCCAGGGATCTGGCCTTTATCGCTCTGGTGGCGATGATTTTCAGAATTGAAAACTTTACGTAACTTTACTTTAACAAAATACTCTCTTTACTAAAATTATATGCGTAATTTTGAAAATGTGTTTGCTGATTACGTTTAGATTCAGTGAGAGGAAAAGAATGGTACTTCTTTGATAGCAGAGTAGACCGTGAGAACAACCCCTTAGTTGTTGTGGTCTGCCTCAGTAGAACAGCCGTCTAATCTATCTAAATACATTACGAAGTTTCAGCGTAATCAATTGCCAGTTACATAAGAACGTGTACTATAGCAAAACACAGTTTTGCATGTCACAAGCTCGATTCCCGAGAAGCTAAGTTTGTATTAACCGAAGTAATTTTCATAGTTCATGTCTATTTGTTGATTTAAAAACTAAATGCGGCATAACATTACAATTTTCAACGTTTCTTTTAGTGTATATAACATAAACTATACAAAAAACTACATAATTTTATATAGATCTACACTTTTTTCTCTTTGTATTCAAACACTTAGGTTTCCGGGTCGCTAGATACTTTATGCGGTAAACTTATTTGAGAACGTAAGACTATTTATAACCGGAAATTGAATCTGTAAAAGCTTCTCCTTGGTACTGATCCTTGCTGATGTTACATAGAAAAGCTTTTACTATAGGGATAAAGAATAATTTAATAAATTGAATACAAGATTGAAAATGAGAATTAGAATCACAAAGGCTTTTTCTTGATTATAAAATTACAATATTTAGACGATTTTTCTTTTTAAATTGTTGCTAGTATAGAGAACCATATTCCCATAAGCCATTCAATAATATTGGCAAATTATGTATACACGAAATATTTGAAATGATTGGATGAATTTGAATGATGGATTAAGTACTCTACTAAATAAACTATATTTGGGCAAAAATGAAAAAGTTGCTCCATTGCTCTATGAAAGGAGGAGAATTCAACAAATGCTTTCCCATACTATAATAACATCTAAAACGATTTTACATACAAAATATCATGCCTTTACCGTTCAAAGGAAAGTTTTATTTCTATTATAAAATAATAAATAGCGAAGTTTATGCGCGTTTTCAATTTGTAGTTTGTTTGTTTTAGGACAAGGTTTATACAAGGACAAGCATTTATAATAAAACTAGCATTGCCCGCGGCTCCGCCCGCGTTCAGATAACCAAAAACCAAATTCTTAGGTTTTACATATTAGTATACTATTACATTACAGTTGTTGTATTTTTTCTCAGAAATGAAATATTTTGCCGTGGTAAAAAGTATCCTATATGTTGACCCGGATAATCAACTATGACCATACTAAATTTCATCAAAATCCGTCTTGTAGTTTTTCTGTGATGCGGTAACAGACAGACAGAGAGACAGACAGACAAAAATTCTAAAAACTATATATTCGGCCTCTGTATCGATAATAATATCTATTTCAATAAGATTTTGAAAAAAATTTTAATCTACAGATTTGACTCAGAATTTTATTGTATGTATAGACGACATAAATATTGTTTAAATCTAAAAGCAAAGCCGCTAATCTGTAAAATATTCCGCGAAGGAACAATATTATTCCGGTTAAGACTTTGCAAATATAAGTGTGTGGGATTAATTCCAGTAACTAATCGATACTTATGTAGGTACAAAATACAAAGTGAGTACAAAATCATTGTTTTCTTATATTGTAAACTAGCAGAACCCGCGGCTTCGCCCGCGATCAAACTACGAAAAAAGAACTTTTTCGCAATACATACTTTTTTATTTGCAAAAATGACTGCGTGTTTCATATTATTTATTAAATACATATGGAAAATAAATATAATTTTAGCGATCGTAACTCAAAATATCCAAAATTTAAAAAAAAAAAGTTAAATATTATTTATTTATTGAAAACTTTCACCCCCTATTTTACCCTCTTAGGGGTTGAATTTTATAAAACGCTGAAATATGTAACTCATTATTTTTGCCGTACTCAATTCATAAGAAATTTCATGCAGATATGTCCAAGGATTAAAAAGTTTCATACAAACTCTTATTCCTTACTTGTAACCCCTTGGGGGTTGAATTTTAAAAACCCTTCCTTATATATATATTGCCTTCATCATATGAGGAATACGTGTGAAATGTCAATTTTCTAGCCTTAAGGGTTTGGCATGTGCGTTTATACATCAGTCAATCACTTTTGCCTTCTATAAATATAATAATAGATAAAATATTATTTTTAAAAGAGAAACTGTTGGGTTTTTTGTCGGCTTTTTTCCTTTTTTCAGCACTTACCTTCCGTTCTGGTGGCAGGCTTATGAACCCGACATTTAATTCAAATTTAACTAACCAAAAGTGCTTGTAAAAGCCTACATGCATAAAGCATATCTTAAGTTTCAGTATGAATTTAATTATAACGTAACAATGTCCCTAATGCCTACTTCTGTTAAGTTCCTCATGCATATATAATTAGTTGAAACTTACCTTCGTCCATAGACAATTGATCCCATATAGCAACTTTGGTTCCCGCGGGGTCGCTCAAAGCTACGTATGCTATCTCGTTCCTAACTAGTCGGAGATCGTGGTCCAATGCCAGAATCCAAAATGTAACTGTAACAAAGTTATATAATCCGTATTAATATTATAAATATGAAAGTTTCTGAGTATGTATGGATGTTTGTTACTCTTTCACGCCAGAACGGGTGAACGGATGTGGATGAAATTTGGCACAGAGATAGATTATCTGTATCTTTTTGTAGTCTGGAATAATATATAGGCTACTTTTTATCCCGGAAATTTTTTAGGGTTCCCGTGGGAATGGGTTTGTTTTTGTTTTTCTAGAGGTGAACCAAGAGAACATGAACCGCTAGTATTAGATAATTTATATATTCTAGTTATATATTTATTTAAAATCATGTATATATATATATATATATATATATATATATATATATATATATATATTTGTGTTATAATAAATTGTAGATATAAATAACTATTTCATGTATAAAACAACTTCGTGTTCTCACATAAGCATGAATAAGGCGATAAGCCATAGATAAAATCAAAATATGAAGCATAAAAACATGAAAGATAAACCCATAAATAACCGTTAAGCTACTTATAAAAGCTCAAAAACACAAAATATACGAAAGCTTATATATCGCATCTCTCATAACTTTTTCATTACCTTTTATAAAATAAAAACCCGAACGTTAATGTGAATAAAATGTGTTTATCGGATTTTAATGGTGCGAGTTGAAAAGCTGTATATATTTAATCTACTTAATGTATGATGATATAAAATTGGTACTCTATATTCAATGATACACTTAAATTCAAAGTGGATATTAAATGCTTCAAATATAAAAGGCATCGTATTTATTGATATTAGAAAATTTTGTTTACTTAGAAAATTGAGAAAATCTAGATTTTCTAAGCTAAGCTAATCTATGTATAAGTTATTAGAAAAAAATATATACGTGTCAAATTGAGAACATCCTCCTTTTTTACGTCAGTTGAAAAATTTAATTTCTTATATGGATGTTTCCATTTGATGATACTTTATATAAAGCCACTAAAACCCTTTTTTTGGAGATCTTTATTTGTATGAGAAAGGTAGATAAATGCAGGTAAAACGTGAATATTGTTGTTTATAACATTTTCTTAGACACTTTTTATCGATTTCGATGCTGCTTACTGAACTCCCGACAAAGGTTTGATATAGAAACAAATTTCTTCTACGTGTGTTACCTAGTTTTCTACGACTCAAGCACAGTTACTAAATACTACTTATGTCGCTAAGTTTATATGGTGAATACAATTCCCTAGAACCAGATTCACTTTTACTTTTGATTCAAAATTGTATATATATATATATATATATATATATATATATATATATATATATATATCAACCCTTTTCCAAAAGCTTTAAATTTTACACGAATATCTCGAACTTGCCGTCAATCTAAGTTAAACCATCAATAAAAATGAGGCCACAAATTGCCGTGAAACAGTTGAAAGACAATTTATCCGGCTAAAGTAGTTGCCAGCGTAATGTATGGGCTTTGCTTCGTAATTAATTACATCAAGCCGTGCGCTAGAACTTGGATATTGGTAAGAGTTGCCAACTATTTTACGAGGTTGGAAGTTGTGTCAATATGAGATTACCATACTAATGTACTTTAATTGTTCACTAAAACGTGTAAAAGTTCATCGAGCTATTCATTTGTGTATGCTAATCGTAATTAGCTTTATTTAATACTAGCGACTCACCCTCGCTCCAATAGGTTCGTCCCTAGTTACGTTTGTAAGTTTAGTATAGATTTCTCAGAGATGAGATACTTTCCCACAATAAAAAGTATTCTATATGTTGACCTGGATAACCAGCTGTCACCATACTAAATTTCATCAAAATCGGTCAAGTGGTTTTCTCGTGATGCGTACCCAGACAGACAGAGAAAAATTCTAAAAACGATATATTCGGCCTCTTTATCAAAAATAATGACTATTTCAATAAGATTTTCCAAAAAATATTTAATGTACAGGTTCGACTCAGAATTTTATTTTAAGTATATACTTTACGGCCGTGGTTTTATTCTCATGGTAAGTGGGGTAAGAATAAAAGGTAGTCCTATCCCCTTGATGCAATCATTGCCTTTGATCGAAATCTGTTCACAAACGAACAGACAGTATTTTAACATTCAAAATAGTACATGAAATTATGGATTTGGATGAATACTAGTATCAGCTCAGTATCCGTATCCGATAAGCTAATATAACATTCTAATTTATAAAGGAACTAATTTTTGGTTCGCTACGGCGTACTTTTTATAAAAGATTGATATCCCACGAGAACCATTTAATGTAATACGTCAATCTGTTTTTCTTCTACTGTGCGAAAGTAGAAGTAACAAAAGGCACATTTTTGCATTTACATTATACCAACTTCAAAAATGGAGGCACTTAATTTGGGTAAGTACATGTTTTTTTTTTGTATTTGCTAACTGTGAAATGATTTTTATTATCGGTAATACAATGATTTCTTAGATTCACTCAAATATGTGACTTTGTGACATTTAAATAAAACTATCTTTTCGGATTTTTTTTTTGCAGATTTATTTTGATTTTTGCTTCCATCGGTGCTTGTTAAAAATTGTAATGACAATTTGTATTTAAATTTTAACATAATAGTGTTAACTAGCATTTCCCGCGGCTCCACACGCGTTCAGGTGACCAAAAACCAAATTCTTAAGTTTTACATATTAGTATACCCTTACATTGCAGTTTTTGTATTTTTTTCTCAGAAGTGAGATATTTTCCCGCGGTAAAATGTATCCTATATGTTGACCCAGACAACCAGCAATTACCATACCAAATTTCATCAAAATTCCTCTGGTGGTTTTTCTGTGATGTGGGAACAGACCGACAGACAAAAATTCTAAAAACTATAGATTCGGCCTCTATATTGATAATAATGTTTATATCAATAAGATTTTCCAAAAATTATTTAATGTACAGATTCGGCTTAGTTACAATTTTATTAAATGTACCTATAGATGTAGATTATAATTATACTTAACGTACAAGATAAAAAAAATCGTTCTGAACAGTACATAATAAAAAGTGTAATGTAATTGGTGCAATTTTCATTTTGTTAGTTGTGGGTAGGCTGTCAGTAACAACTATACCTTCAAGACATGTAACACCTCAGTCTCTCCCGTGACCATGGATGCTGTAAAGCATTCGAAACGTCGGGAACCAAAAATCAAAATAAATCCGCGAAATAATCCGACAAGATAGTCTTATTTAAAAATGTCAAACATTCGCGTAAATCTAAGAAAGTATTATAAGAAAGTATTAATACTATTTACTAAATTAAAAAAAAAACTAAATTATATTTAAAATAATTTGAACCTAAAATACGCGATAAAATACATATCAATGGAGAATTCCAAAGTCAATGTTGGTATTTCAAATTACACTTAATGCTAACACTGGTAAGTTGCCAAAGGAAGTTCGCCGTTAATTTAACAGCTAGATGGAACGTTTTTTTTGTATGCACGTGATCAGAATTTGTCTTTCGTACTTGTTTTTCTTATTCCGTGGCGTAGTTCTTAATTTACCTAAAGCACGAGTTTATTTATTCAATTTCAATTAACGAACGGCTAGTGTTTTAGCAAACAGCTTATTAAGAGTACTGGTTTGATGCTCGTCTGAAGTAAATATACATAGATACATTATATCGTATTGCATAGAAAAAATTAAGGAAAAAAATGTTTATATAAACAAAAAAATTCTAAATTTTCCTTACAATTTGCAACATTTTACATACTAGTTATCACCCAGTACTCAAAATTCGACCATAATCATTTTTTTTTGATGACACTAAATCTCGTCAATAGCTGCTAATAAAAAAAAGAAAATCGGTTGACAAACACAGGAGAAAAAAGTATTAAATGGTTTTGTCTTTACCTATTTATAAATAGGGATGTAATGACATTTCAAATGACATGTGTAATTGCAAGCAATTATACTGTCGGAGCAATAAATCCAGATGAAAAGGACTAATTCAGTTTTGTCTGACGTAGTCTATATGATAAACATTTATCTGCCTTGTACCTTATATTATCTACATGTTTATAAAGAAAATTATACTTCGAATAGAAATATTATATTACGGAACTCATTTTATAGGTAGAACCATCTGTCCACCTCAAAGCGGCGACGCTGGCAAGGCCTGTAGCTTGTGGCCTAGCACTAGACATTCCGAAAAAAAATACCAGCCTGGAGTTACAAAGCTGAGATTGAACATTTTCGTGCTTCGGAGAGTATAGCCGTAGGCCATAAACCAAAAAAATTAGAAAAAATGTTCAAAACATTTCACGATAGAAATATTTAGAATATTGTTCGAGCAAAATTCTAAAATAAAATTTATTAGAGAAAAGAAGCCGCCAATTACTATGGTGACAGGGTGATCGAAAATCTAATTAATTACGCCCAATACCTTCGCTGCTTTGGAGCGAACATAATAAATGCTCATTCAATCAGCCTTTTAAATAATTCACTTTGAAAGAAAAAATCCATATAATGCGAAGTTTGTGAAAATATTTAGCTAGAAAATAAAAATCTTAGTCAATTTTTTAACTCAACAGATAAAAAAATTTAGGTTGATAAATGGAAGTATAATTTAATAAAGAATGTTATTGAATAAATATTATTTAATTTATGTAAGTTAATACAAAAAGAAAGAACTAAGTGAGAGTAGGTAAGTTTTCTTATTTCCTAATTAATAGACATATATAGTGTTATTTTAGAGATATTGTTTTTATTATCCTAGAAGCCAATAAACAAACAAATTGAATTGAATTGATTTTTTTTTACGGATCAGCCTTAATATATTTTGTGTCCGACCTCTAAGTTTCCTTACGGTAAGATTTGTATACAGACTGCAAAACTGTTATACGTACATATGTATATTATATATTGCCAGTGTTTGCCTAGTAGTTGAATTTTTACCATAATGATTATTAAAAAATTGAGAAAAACTTATGTATATGAATTAACATTTTTAATAGCTAGAGCTACTAAGCAAAAAAACAAATTAAAATCAGTTCATTAACGTAGGAGAAAAAGGTAGGCACTGAATTGTTTTGTCTTTGTCTATTTATATAGATTTATATAGATACTAGACCTGTACCCTGTAGACTATAATACTCATTTAGTAGAAAAAAAAAAAAAGTTGTGTTATTTAAAATACATATACTTATTTAATATTGAAAATAGAAATAAGATGAAAATAATATTCTTTTTATTTTTTGTAATTATTGATCTACCATTGCGTCGGGGCATCGTAGTTGAGTGCGCAAGCGATCCTGCGACGCCCAATTAAGACGGAGGAAGGTTTTGTTGGGTTTTAGTGGGTAGTACTGGCTTTTCGAGCCGGTACGTCCCACATAACCACCTGTATGTCTGCAAGTGGTATGCGTAAATGCATTTCCTAACATTGATACACTACACTTATTTACATATACTTTAAAGACATTCATATTATAAACTAGCTGAAGCCACGGCTTCGCTCGCGCTAAAACTACAAAGAAAACTCTAAAAAGGTAAGTTTCATACAAACTTTTATTCCGTATTTTACGAATGAGTTTCGAAAAAAATGCTAAAACACGTATTTCTTTAATTGCATTGAAGAACATTTATACCAAGTTTCAAAATAATTCTGATCATAAATATTTTTTGAATTGTATTATAATTAGATAATCTATCACGGTAAAAAGTAGCCTATGTCACTCTCCAGCCCTCCAATTATCTCCACACAAAAAATCACGCTAATCTGTCACTCCGTTTCGACGTGAAAGAAAGACAAACAAACACACTTTCACATTTATAATATTAGTATGGATATAAACATCCATGACTGAACAAACATTCGTGCTCATCAAACACAAATGAATTCCCGGCATTCGAACCCAACCGCTGGCACAGCAAGTAGGGTCACTAGTCAACACTACAAACAGCCAAACGTATCGTCAATAGATAGCCAATTATCGACTAACAAGGCAGTTAAAATATAAAATATACTAACTTGTTTCTCCCGGACGGTAGTGGTGTCTTGCTGGTCGGACGATAACGTCTCGTACGGGTCCCAAGAGTCTGATGACACTGTGACTTTTAGCGGTGCACTCGTCGTTGCCTACACAGCCCACAGTAGTATGAAGAGTGCAGTGGGAAGCAGGCGACGATGGTATTTTCAAGGGAATAATACCGTAACCTAAACAAAAAAGAAATATTTTTAATATACATATTTTTATACAAATTGTCGTATTAGTTCATATAATATAATTAAAACAAATTATATAATGTTTTAATTATTTTCGTTGTTTGATGGTAGGTGGCATATTTCCTTCCTCAGTAAATGGGCTTTAAAATACGGATTTTAAATAAATAAAATATAAATAAATATGTTGGGACATTAACACAGCACCATCTAGTTCCATGGTAAGCTACGAGGCTTGTGTTATGGATACCAGATAGTTAATACACTACAAATAATATATAACTTTAAATACATTTATTACATGTTATAAATATAAACACCCATGACTGGAGTACAAGCATTCGTGCTCATCACTTGTGTGATAGGGAGTAATCTCTGAATCTACTGAACAGATTTACTTGAAATTTCGTAATAAGATAGTTTGAGAGAGTGAGTACCCTATGTTTTTCACAGAGGGAAGGACATAGGATACTTTTTATCCCGGAAATCATCCATTAAGGGGTTGAAAAAGGGGATGAAAGTTTGTATGGGGAATCAACCTAGGGACTAACCGAGTCGCTAGTTATTTTATAATTATGTAAAAAAATGTAAAAATAATATTTACAATATTAAACCAAAAAAAAAAAACCTAAGTTATTGCCATGTTTTTGACACAATTTTCAACATAAGTTTGTAAAATCTATTAATTGTTACATTCAGGGTTCCCAACTTGAATGAATAATATTTAAATAGAATAGAAGTGATTCTACATTAAAGTACGGGTAAAGTTCGAGGTACTTCGATACCAACAATAAAAGATCTTGGAGCATCTCCAAATGGAAAGATGTCGAAGAAATTGCTCTAGCGTTCGCCAACCACTCAAATGAACCAGACACTATTAAAAGGTAAAAATTATTACACCCAAGAATAGGGTATACGATTGTGGAAATGTTATTTTATATTGTACTCTTTGTATTTTCTGCTTTAATATTTGTATTTTATATAAATTGTTGTTTAAGAACTCGAATTAAATACGTATATATTTTTCTGTTATTGAGTTTTGGTAAAATAAATTACTCTAGTATTGTTTTAGGATGAAAGCTTTTTAAGTCTTTTGTGGTCGTTTTTACGAAATTGAATTTATTTTTGGGGTTAAGCAGTATTTAATTATAGTATGTAGTTTTTTGAAGTAAATCTCTAGACATTATCTATACTAATATTATAAATGTGAAAAATTGTTTGTATGGATGTATGTTTGTTACTCTTTCACGCCAGAACGGCTGAACGGATCTGGATGAAATTTGGCACAGAGATAGATTATAGTCTGGAATAACACATAGGCTACTTTTTATCCGGGAAAAATGTACGGTTATCTTAGGATAGATTTGTATTATTTTGTATTCGCTAGTATATTAATACATAAGAAAAAAATCACTTATTTCAAAATAACAAGCAAATTATTTCCATTCTGTTAAAAAAAAACAAAAGGTATATGTAACAGGCCAAAAGTAGAAAGGTACGCTCGGTTTGAAAATTCGTGTATATATAGTTATATATATATGTATATATATATATATATATGTATATATATATATATATATGTATATATATATTGTAAAATACATATATGACAATTCAGTCCTTCTAACGTCCCACTAACAGGCTCTTGCCTCTGTATAATGTGAGGGGAATTAGGTTATACTTGACCAGGTTGGCCAATGCTGGTTGCTCGTCTCATTTGTTTTAAAATTACGAAAATTTCCTGTTACCGTGCTTATAAATGCAAATTATAATAAAATGAAAATATCAGAAATGCGAGACCAGTGGTTTGAATCCACTTCTCTGTCAAGTGGTCTCTAAAATGCTACTGCTTTTGTATACATATAAAAATGATCAAGTCTTACTTTTGTAAGTATATTAAAAACAGAATAACATTGGATTTCAAAAGATATCTTAAGAAACTGAGAATTGTATGCGAGTGAGTGTTACCACAAACTTTTTCTTTCGCAGTTCATTTGAATTTCAAATATGAATACGCAGAATTCGTTACATATTAATAACAAAGGCGGTTCTAGAATGACTTATTTCATTTTACGTCATTTTATTATTTTCATTTAATTCTGTTAAGTACCTACATATATTAAAATACATAATGTTAACTTTAAGAAGGACCAAACAATAAACTGCGCTTTATATTACGTATAACGACTTATGAAAGTAAACGTAATATTTTCATAAAGATTCAGAAAATTAGAAACTACTTGTCAATATTTTTAGACCAAACCGGAAATTCACTTAATGTAGGTACTCAGGAGATACTACACTCCACTAAGATCTACCCTGCAATGGAGAAGTTGCTTATAATATCATCATATTTAACGAAATAGAATTATAATATAGATCAAAACTAATAAATCGGCGAAAAAATGTTTGAAATATATCAATAAATTACTGAAAAATTAATATAAACGATCGTTAAGGTCATGTGACGTCACGAAATTATGCTTACAAGCGCAACTTTAAAGTTTCATAACTTTTTCATTTATTGAGATATTTCAATAATTCCTTCATATTTTTGTTATATTTTGCTTAAATTTTTATAATTGACACAAAAAAAAAAATTGGAAACTTCTTCATTATATTTTTAATTCCATTCAATTCAATACGACCCCAGAGAGATTAGATCAAGAACGCCTTACATGCTCTTTAGGTCAATGGGATGCAACATCAACAATTACTCAACTCTCATTAAGTTTAATACTTTTTAGACTTACGCGAATATTTGACGTATTAAATAAAACTATCTTTTCGGATTTTTTCGCGAATTTATATAGATTTTTGGTTCCCGACGTTTCGAATGCTTTACGGTAATTATGGTCACGAGAGAGACTAAGATTATAGACATCTCAAACACATACTTGTTACAGACAGTGCCTACCCACTATTTTACAAAAATAATTTCAAAAATTCAAAAAATGGCAATAAGTACCTTACACTTTTCGTTGGTTTTTATTTCTAAATATTTAAAAAGAAATTAATACATATTATAATTAAATATAGCAATCTAATGGTCTGTTATATTTGATTTTTTTGTGGATTTGTAGATGTATTTAGTTCATACTGTGTGGATCGTAATAATGACAGTAACTCTGCTAGCTAGCAATAGTGTTGCTCAATATTTTAACTTGAAATAATAGCAATCTAAATTAATATTTTAACTTCCTTTAAATTATATATAAACAATAATATTGCTTAGATAAATAATGAATATGTTTATTTTTTTGATGTTCTTTATACATAATATAATAATAGCAACACTAAATAATATTAGTAATTAATAAAGTTTTTAAAAATTGTAATATTTATAATATAACAGCTAAAATTAAATAAATAATATTCCTATGGACTAAAATTTTATTTATCTCTAAGTAATTGAGTTAACCTTCTTTGAGATAGAACAAAAATCTGAAAAACCACACTAACATTAATAAAATACCAAAGCCCTTTTTTAATATCCCACTACTGAGCACGGGCTTTCCTCCTATGAGACAGGGATCAAGCCATAGTTCACCACGCTGGAAACCTTGGTTCTTTCGGATATGCACGTCAGCAGGTATGCTTACAAAGTTTTCCTTTACCGTCAGACAAGTAGTAATCATGTTGGAAGTGATTCGTATATGTGTTATTTACTGTATTCTCTAGAAACTTACGACCAAAAATAAAAATAAATTTAATACCATATACATATATGTATATTAAATAAAACGACATGATCATCGAAGTTATAACTGCATTTTCGTTGTACAATGTTATTAGTGCAGCACCGAATAGTCTCGGGAAGGCAAGTCGTTTGTGCGTCCCAGGTGAATTTCTCTGCATCTTCGTTATAGCCATTGGAGCTTGAACTGAGCTAAGCTAGAATTTCTACTAAAGCTAAAATAAAAGTCACCAGATAATACAAATTCAAAGAATTTAAAACAGAAAATTAGTATTGCTTTAAGCAATTTTTTTTTAACTAACAACCTTTTATTTCAGCGCATTTTGCTTCCAGAATTAAAGCTAAAAAGTACTCGTAATTCACATATTTTAAGTACTGTAGTCTGTTTTATTTACTTGGTAAAACGTATTAAATGCTTAGAAATTCAGCTTGGAACAGCTTAAACGGTGGTATTATTCAGGAGCTCTTGCGCTTAGTTTAGGTTTAATATTCGAGTTGCACATAATTTAGCAAATTAGTGCCACAAACTGCTTTATTAGCCAACCGCACAAAACGTATGACATTATTTAGAGCACTTTACTATCTATTCGTTTACTTATTTCAATTATAATGCATGCGTCTTTCGCTGTAGAAGTAAATCTTGGAGTAGGGGAATGAGGGGGGAAACCGGATAGGGGGTGAAAACAGATAGTTCCTATTTCATTGCTCCACGTACAGCTGTCTCATTCTAGCTAGTGGAGAAATACGCGCGAACGCTTACTCAGTGCGGTTGCAAATCGCGGCAATGGTATCATCTCGGCGCGTGAGTCTTTATAACGAAATTTAAAAACAAGGGTAAGTTATCTAATATTTAATTTTTTTTAAAGTATTATCATTAAACTTGGCTGTGTGCTATCATATACAGTTGTATTTTTTAAGAAGTAATACATATTTAACCTTTTAAAACGGTATTGGTTGTTGCTGTGAGTGTAAACATAACCTGTTAGTTATTACAATTTCAAACATGGTACTTGTGGGGTACAAGCGGACGGGGTGAATTCGACTACCTGGTTTCACCCCGATCGATTTTATATGTAGGTATTGTGGGTGTTTGTTTTAAATCCTCTTTTTAATTACTATTTATTTTTTACAGAGTGCGAGCGACAACATGCCACCAACATATGTAAAAAAGTCAGATAAGTTGCAATGGTCTGAGTCAGACATGCTTTTAGCCCTAAATTCGGTGATAGAAGGTAGAATGGGATATCTTTTAGCGTTACATAAAGTGTACCCAAAAGTTCCTTAGAAGATCGTGTAA